TCCTATGATGAACTTATGAGGATACCCTGCTTCACCTTTCCATTCATTTGAAACATTATCTAACTTATGCACATTTCTTTCAGGTTCGGAGATGTGGGATGAGGTTTCTGCAGCTCTTTATGTAGTCGACTAAGATTCGCTTGGAGTTGATTTTCAGTAATGTTCTCAGGAGCTTGAACTGTTTTTGATACACCTACAAGATCTTCTTCATCTACTATTTTGCTAGACTCACTACGAGGGTTAGTGTCAATAAAGACTACATGAATATATTCTTCTATAATAATAGTACGTTTATTATAAACTCTATAACCTCTACTTGACAGAGAATAACCAAAAAATATACCTTCATCACTTCTAGGAGCGAACTTATCAAGGTTATCTTTACTATTGTTGTGAACATAGCACTTGCATACAAAGGGATCAAAGTAACTTACATTTGATATTTTTCCTCTCCATAATTTGTAGGGCGTTTTCTTCAAGACTGGCCTGATCATGCATCGGGTAATGATATGACATGATGTGCTCACTGCTTCTGCTCGGAAATAATGAGGTAGTGAGCTTTTTGCAATCATTGTTCTAGCTATGTCTTGCAGTGTCCTATTTTTCCTTTGTAGAACCTCGTTTTGTTGAGGAGTTCTTGGAGATGAAAAGTTGTGAGTGATTCCATAATCATTGCAGAAGGTTTCAAAAGATTTGCTTTCAAATTCTCTTCTATGATTACTTCTTATTGAAGAATTGCACACCCCCTTTTCACATTGTACCTTTTTGTAGAAAACATCAAATTCTTTAGTGCCTCATCTTTGTGACTCAAGAAAATAACCTAGGTGAAACGAGAATAATCATCAACAATAACAAATGCATATTTCTTGCCATTTATACTAGAAGTTCTTGTTGGTCCAAAAAGATCCATGTGCAGTAATTGCAATGATTTTGAAGTAAAAACAATGTTTTTTGTTTTAAAAGATGATCTAGTATGTTTACCAAGTTGACATGCATCACAAATATGATCTTTTGAAAATTTCAATTTTGGAAGACCAATGACTAGATCTTGTTTTGAAAGATTTTTAATGGAATGCATGTTTGCATGTCCTAGTTTTCTATGCCACAACTATGAATCATCTATTATGGAAGCCAAGCAGATATGATTATCATGTTTGCTAAGAGTATAGACATTCTTGTCTCTATTTTCAGTGAGAATAGAATTACTTGATTCATCAATTATAGACCAGCCAGTTTTCTTGAAGCGTACCTCATAGTCGTTATCACATAGTTGACTGATACTGAGTAAGTTGTATCCAAGTTCATTTATAAGATAGACCTCGTCTACTTCACATGTAGAGATCAAAGGGACTTTTCCTACCCCAGTGATATTTCCTTTGGATTTATCTCTGAAAGTAATTGTTCCACCATCTAGATTTGTGACAAATTTGAAAAGTTGTTTGTCACCTGTCATATGTCTGGAACATGCACTGTCAAGATACTATTTTCCTTTTCTGCTCTTCTTGTGGTGTTCCTACATAAAATATAAATCACTTTTTCTTAGGTACCCAAGCTTTCATGGGTCCTGTTTGGTTAGATTTAGAGGTGGAAGTCTCATTAGTTGTTTTAGATCTCCAAACCCATTGCTTTTTGTTTCTGAACCTGCAATTGTTAGAAAAATGACCAGATTTACCGCAATAAAAACAAACAAAGTTATCTCATTTAGTTTCCTCATGGAATCTAATTGAAGGTACCCCTCTGAGACCTTTTCGAATAGTCGATTTATTTGACTTAACAGAGCTATGATTGGGGATTTGAGTAATCCATTTAACTGAAGCTGGAGCTCATGAATTTCTTCCTGAAGCATGCCTCTTTCAATCTCATAAACTTCTAGTTTCATTTCATTATCCTTATTTTTCCTTTGAACTTTGTGAAGTTCATGAAGGACCTTTTCAAGATCAATCATAGCTAAATCAATATATTCTTGAATTTTAGTGTATTTAGGACAGAGACGTATTTCGTTGGTTTCTCCGATAGCCATAAAACTTAGTCTTCATCTTGTTCATTTTCCAATAAATCATCATCACTTTCTCTTATTGCCATGAAACATATGTTTGTTATTTCTTCACTTTCAGATCCTTCTTCGTCACTGCAGGCTCCGAATGATTTCTTCTTTTGAAAACCTTTGTTGATTTCCCTTTTTAGTTCTGGACATTCAGCTTGTATATAGACAAATTTTCCACATTCATAGTATCTTATATCATTTTCATTATGTGGTCTTCCTTTTCTTGCAAATTTTTTGCCTTTTATTCCTCCTCTGATTTTTTTCATCATATTTGATACCACTATGGATAGCATTGCAATGTTTTCATCCTGCTCTCCTCCTTCTTCCTCTTCTTCATTTTCAAACTCGACAACTGTTACCTTGAAGGAAATATTTTCCTTCTTTTCAGGTACATGTCTGTTTAGATGGACCTTTACAAAGGCTATAAGATCTCCTCGTAATTCATCGTATGATACGTTATCAAGATCTTGACATTCCAAGGTAATGACGTAGGCTGCCATGTGGTGGGTACGCTTCTGAGAATTTTCCTGACTTGTTCTCCAGTTTTCAAAGGTCGTCCGAATGATTTTAGATCACCAATAATTTTTCTGAATCTTGAAAACATTTCTTCAATAGATTCTCTCTCCTTTATTTGGGACAATTCATATTCATGAACCAGGAGATTTATCCTTGTTTCTTTCACTTTATTTGTTCCTTCATATATGACTTCTATCTTGTCCAACATTTCTTTTGCAGTTTCACAACTTGATATCTTTTCATACTCTTCTCCATTTATGGCATTGTATAGAAGATTTTTTGCCTTAGCATTCACTTGAACAATAGATGTTTGTTCTTTAGTGTAATCGTCTAAATTGAGAGGGCCAGATGATACTTTGATCTCACCGTCTTTATCCTTCCTCGGTGGAATTGGGAGATTTCCTTTTTTGATCGCACGCCATACTTTAATGTCGTATGACATAGTGTATGTTTCCATTCGCGCTTTCCAGTGTGAAAAGTGCTGACCGTTGAAGTACGATGGTATTACTTGAGAGGTTCCTTCTTGGAATAGTGCTCCAATGACTGTATTTAATCCCATGATGTTTTTCTCACTTGCTGTTAGGCAATACTTGTGAGTCCTCACTTTGATACCAATTAAACACAAGAGGGGAGGGGTGAATTGTGTCCAATTTAAAACCTTAGTTGACTAAAGATAGAAATAGTCGACTAATCTTTACTAGCAGGTTCGATTTTAGCAGGAGTAAATTATGCAAAAACAAGAACAGTAAAGGCAATGGAGTTTTATACTGATTTAGTACCGGTGTGGTACCTACATCCAGTTCCCTTGGGTCACAAGGGTTCTCTTAGATCTTCAATATTGAGTCGTTACAACAATTGTGATTTTAGTTCGTTCACCACTAACGATATTCAGCAACAGTGTTTGTCTTTGCTTGACACAACTCTTGCTTTGTTTTCTAACTCTTCCTATCTTTTGTGACACTAGTAAACTCAAGAATACAGTGTTTATACAAAGAACTAGAAAGATATAGAAACATGTATTAAGTTACGTAATTTTTTTCTTTTGTCTTCCAGCCTTCTTATAGGAATGACTTGTGGTCTTATAATCTTCTCTTTAACTAGCCGTTATAGATTGCCCATTAATTGAGGCAAGAATATTCTAAGAGATTTGATCAAGGGTTGCCTCTGAATCCAGCTTACAAGGAAGGCCGGATCCAATGATCTTTTTTCCTTCTTGCGTTCCTGATATATAGCAGTGATTTGTGACATGACTTAATTGATCCACCATCAGAATCTTCTAATCTCTTTCTCCATAGACTCTCCTTAATTTACGAACTAATCTCCTCATAGCAACTGCATTTGATCTTATTTTCTTTTCATAGCATTGCTTCCCTGATTTTCTGCAATCGATTAGAGTAGATTAGATTTTGCACAATTGTCATCATTAAAACTTAAGTGTGACACAAAACGTTTGAATGTGTAGTATTTAACCTATAAATACTAGTTAGGAGACTTACAGGTTTCTCTTTGCGGCAGCTGATCGTCTATTTCAATCACGGCTTGAATTATCGGTCGGAAGGAATTATAATAAAGCGAAAAATTCTTTGGTTTTCACAACCTAAATATCCCCTCAGAGATGCAAAGAGTTTTCTTCATAGCCATCGTCATCAAGAATGAAAAAGCGTTTCTTTTCTACACCTGCAGTGGTGCTTATATAGGCTAGTACTAGGATTTTAGGAGGAGGACTAGCTAACGAGCAAACGGGCTAATTAGCACTCCTTATGGGTAGACCCGACCCAATAGCAATTTTTCAACAGAATAAATAGGAGATTGTCAAATCTCATAGTAGCCTTCTATTTGATTATGTTATGTGACAAATCATGCTTGAATTTCAGTTTTGCAGATTCAATGTTTTGTTACATCAATATCGTTAATATAACTTCAAATCCTTGTACAAGTTACAACTGAATAGCCCATCAAAAAACTACAAAAGAAAACCATTTCTTCAAAGTCCACAATTTCAACCACACTCTTGAACATATACCCCACCTCATTCACAATAAGAGAAATTCTACATCATCTAATACTTGTGCGGATGAGAGATAACAGATATTAGGTGGAACAGAAATAAAAAAAATTACATGCTCAACTCCATAAGAGAAAAAAAGTCCTATTGGATATTCATTCCTCTAGAGCAAAGGGCATCATGCAAATACATATGCATCTTCTCTTCTCTTTTGGATGAATGGGGTGGCTTCAGAGGCGCTCTCTAAAGGGGCTACCAACTGCCCGACTCACTGTAAAAAACCCTATGTTTACAATGGATTGCCTTATTCTCTTTCAATCAACAAAATGAGACATGGGAGAGGGGAAAAAAAGGTCAATATCGTTATAAAAAACATAACACATATCCTATAAATCAGCAATCGTTTAAAGAGATGTAAATTACTAAGAGGAACGATCATTTCTTGTTCTTCTTCCTGCTTTCAAGAATTTTCTCCAAGTCACTATGCCTGCAAGGTACAGCAAGAACACCTTCATGTTCGAAACCAAACTCTTCCTCTGCTCGCTCCAACAGCTTCACGAAACTTGGATCCGCTAAACAACCCAATTCTACAATAAACCTCTTCTTTTTTCCATCCTCAATTGCATGCACCACAAAGTGGCCTTCCTTGACATCTTCTGGAGGAGGCAATGAGGCCACATCTTCGTCCCAATCGTCAACAGCATGCATGAAACTGGATCTTCTTGAGAATTGAAGGATTTTCTTCAGCATCTTTGCAATATGCTTTCGACTCGTTGAACCTGCAAACATCTTTAAAAGCGTACGTAATTCTTCAAAACAACACACGAGGTAACAGAAACTCCCGATACAGAAAGAAAATGGTTAAAGCAAATATATGCACAGTTCAAGGAGAACAACAGATTCGGTTGTGAAAAGTATGCATGAGATGAAATGCATGTGAAATACATTAACATGTTACTGAAGCATCACTTTCAGCTTCCTTGTCCTTTCAAGGACAACATGCACTATATATGTTGCAGAGATGTATAAGCAACTTAAGAAAGTTCTATTTCATATTAGTTTCTTTACATTAAATTTAGGAAGGACATATGGGACCTCTTAGGTAAATGATGTAAAACTATACATAAGAGAGTCGCTGCTGCAAGTACTTTAGAAGGGACCTTTTAGGTTAATGATGTAGAACTATTCATAAGAGACTCAAATGTGGCAAATACTTTAGCAGACCCACCACCACCACCACCACAAGAAACTGTTGATATAGCAAGCACTCCAAGGTATAATATCCGATTTGTTGCCCAGTCAAATTACTTCTCTTTTTGAACTACAATGACTAATTCCAAATACAGAATACTTCAAAATTTTATGGTGATTTTGTCAGTTATTTTGAAGGGAAAAGTGCAGGAATTTGTCACATGCTGGCATACTACTTACAGCTACAGCTAGAAATTGTCAGTAATTACACCAGCTGAGAATCAAATAATTAGATTTCTCAAAAAAATGAATGCCAGGTGAAGTGCTGATCAGAATACGCAAACTTGGATATGAAAAGTTGATGAATGTCCTACTTGAGAAGCTATTGGGAGTAAGGAGGCCTTAAAAGTCACATGTTTAACACAAGTACAACACCCTGGGATGTTCACTAATGGGTGTCAAAATATAAAAAAGGTAAATACACGAAAAAGCCAAGGGTATTCAACATATAGTATATATACATTAAAAAAATTTACCTAGCTACGCAGTGTATTTTTCCTGCGAAGGGATGTCAAATGACATCCCTCGGTACAAGGTGGTTCCGCCACTGCTTGCGACAAGCTTCAACTATTATGTTCACGCCCATCAGAATGCAGTGATCCCACCATGCTGCCTCAGACAGGGCATTGGCAACAATTCCTTCAGGCTAGCTTCACCTTTTCTTGAAATTTGTCGGCCATCACAATAAAATTTCCCGAGTTGTAAAACAACATCATCTGCAACATGAACACATCATAGAACAATTTGGCCCTGAGGGTCAAAAATCACCAGTAAAAGCACTAGGCAAAATGCAGCTTCCAAGAACTTTTGAGAGTGTCATTTCGAAGGAACAAACATACTTTTCTAACCTTGACAAGAAAGCTAAGTAATTTAATGAGGTTAATGTTTCTGATAGAAAATTCTAAATCCTAAGATATTATTCAGAAAGAGAAGAAGACTGGAGAGAAGAAATAATGGAACGAAAATAAACAAAACGAAGTCAAACAAAATACGCGAGACTGCTAACAATTACTGGAGACTTCTCATAGTTTTCAAGATATGACTTTAGCTTTTTACTGATAGCAAACAGAAAACGAGTACAATACTACTTTGTAAGCCTTAACTAAAGATATATGAGTTTTATTCATCATAGACATGATAGGTGCAAAAGATACTATGCAGAGCCTAAAATGGTAATGGAACTGTTTCATATGTAGATCAATATATGGAATTTTAATGTACAAGAACACGTAATTTACCTTTATCTTTCCTACTGCACATAAATCTACATTGTACAAACATGCCAACTAAAGAAGACAAACCTAATTTTATACCTAACTAAGTTACTCACTATGCTCAAACATGCAACAGATTGTCATAACACAACAACATACCTAGTATTATCCAACACCGTGGGGTCTGGGGAGGGTAGTGTGTACGCAGACCATACCCGTGAGGATAGAGAGGTTGTTTCCAATAGACCCTCGGCTCAAGATTATCATAACAGTTACTATATTCATTTTGATGGCAGCGTTATGTAGTAGCAATGTTCTAACAGGCTATGACTAGGATCATCAATTAGGAAGAATTGAACTTATTTGCAAAAGAAATGCTAACTAAAGTAAACTTCAGTGTCCTACTAACATTGACAACACTAAGACGATACTCCTAGAAGTGATTCCACGGAAAGTTTATCTTTTACCTCATCAAATACCTCATCTCTATGTAAAAATATCTAGCATGTGGTGGTGAAAATAGCTGAGATAATCCGAGGACAATCAATTTTGGTCCGAAACAAGTAGCAGCTTCACTTTTGCTCAATTGAGCATTTTATGTTCTATACATTATCTCCAGGCTGCCTCACATACCATCCAAATAGAGGAACAAGTGGGAAGCGGAAATTGCCTAATGAGGAAAAGGTCATTACTATAAATATATCATGTTTGGATCTTGAATTACCAATTCTAAGTAGAACAAAAGGAGGACTAGTTTAAACAGATCTGTAGCAAGGGTAGTTTAAGCATCGCCATATACTAGTGTAAAAAATACCAATTTAAGCAGACGGCCACTTTCATGGAGAGAAGGAAATAAGAAAAGAAGAGAAATAAAGTGTTATTACTCTTAAACTCGCAAATGATACTATATTTCTTGTGACATTTGGGAGGCTTTTGTAATATACTGAACCAACTTCATAAAGTAAATTGCAATACTGATCCTTCATCCAAAGAAGGGAAAAATAGTTTCAAAGCGTGTAAAATTCGAATAAGAGCCCCCTTTTAATGGGAACCTTGAAACAGGTATGCAGATGAATGAAAATAATAAAACAATTCTATTTCCTAAAAATAATTCCTAAAAAAGGGCAGCTTCGGTGCATAAGGCATTCCGCTTTCACCTAGTATCGGGAGAAAGGCCACCCCAAGGGGTGTGATGCAGACAGCTAGCCTACTCTAATGCAAGCATTAGCGACTGCTTCCACGGCTCGAACGCGTGACAAGCGGAGACAACTTTATCGTTGCTCCAAAGCTCCCCAATATGAAAGAAATGCAATGCGACGAACAAACCATTATGGTACTAAGCCATAGTTATCTATTTTTGAATCAAAGGCTGCCGCATATAAACATACAGCTAAAGTGTTCGGAGAAACTTTATTACGAGTGCATCTGAATTAAGGTAGAAGTGACATCAATACCACATCAGTTGAGATCAAATTGCACAAGATAATGCCAACCTCATATTCACTAGTAATTTATCCCATTTATCCATGTTTCTTATATTAATCAGCAGCAATATGAACAGGCACAAGTATAAAGAAGCGAATCAACCCATTCAAGGATACATTTCAATTTCAGAGCAATTGAGAACACTCAATCATACCACATAGTGGATATATAAGGATCTGTATGTACAAATGTAACATTGCCACTTATTTCAACATTAAGCAGAGCAAGTTGGATACTAACAGTCCTATTTACTACTGCTACTAAGTATAGGCTTGCCTAGACATATGATCAAACAGTTGGTCTGCGTTCCTGTTCCAGGATCATCATTACAAAGGAAAACATCATTTGGTTTCCAAATCATAAAAAAACTCACGTCGTTTGGCCAAGCCCAAAGATAGTGGACTATTTTCAGCTGTTTCTCTTTTCTAAAACAAACTAGCAGTCTTCAGTTGGAAAAAGAGTTGGTGCAGAAAGTGAATGTATTTGAATTGTTGTAGCATTTTTGTCTTTTTGAAGATTTACGAGCACTTTGTGAGTTTGAAAACATCCTCTAGCCACTCCTCCAAAAATCAAATTTTATCTGAGAAATTTTTTTGTAATTAAATAAAATTAGACAAGCATTTTTTGTTAGAAAAACTTTTGCAAGTTTCAAATAGGGTTTTTTCCTTAAGCTTATTTACTAAAATTATCCTAATTTTGTATATTAGTCACCCTAAATAAGGATTACTTACAAATTACATACAATTCATAATTAGTGCCTTAAATTAGGGCACTCTTTTCCCTTATTTTCTCTTATCCTCTTTCCTTATTTTTCTGCCTCAATTCTAGGGAATTGAATTGCTCTTACATGAGTTTTGTGATATACTCAAACAACATTCAAAACTTTTTGATTCTCATTGTTTTTTCCATTATAGATTCTCCTCTTTTTAATAAGTATATTCACCTTGTTTTCCTCCTCATTATTTTGTTCTTTTCTTTTTTATTTTTTTATTCGTTTTCTCCCAACAGGAAGCTTGTTCTTGTGTTATACATCATTAGCACACTTGCCTTGGATTTTATTCTTGCTTTCTCAATTGTATTATTTATCCTACGAAAGGAATTAACTATATTATGTTTGAATAATGCATGTAAAATTCAAAAGAATGTCAAAACTAATTAATTGTATTGCATATAATTCTTTCTTGGTTTTTGATTAATTTTTTTATCCATTAATTACACATTATTTAGTTATTTGAGTGATCCCTTTGGCAACAATTTGCTCACTGTCATTGCTGGAACTGCTAAAAGAGCCCCCACTCTGTAATTTTACAATTCGGCAATATGCCATACATTTTGATGCACTTGATCAGAGCTGTACTATGAGAAAAATTAAACCAACTTGTAGTTTAAGACAAACTATACTTAATTTCATGGAGTTTCAGTACTTAAAATATTATTTTCATTCTATTTTACCACTTACTAATGAAATAAAAAAATTTCATATGATAAACGATATTTTAAGTGACAGCAGCGAACATACAAATTTGTATGGTACAACAACATACAAATTAAAAATATAAAACGTATAATATTGAGACATGTACAACAACATATAAACTAAAAACGTATTTTATATAACTAATTATATAGTATAAAACTTATTTATAACTTATTTACAATTTTCATACATTATTTTTACCCAGTTAAATACAATTACAACAACATACAACTTAAATACAATTTTCATACAAATTTTATACAATGTGTTTTTTGTATATACTTTGTATATGATTTGTAAATATTTTGTAGGTGGTGTGTTCTTTTTCCTCTTTGAAATTCCAATCAAAGCTTCCTTTCTTAAAACAATTTTGATACATATCAACAACTTTATGTAAAAAGATAGTTATATAACTTAAATATAAATTTTATACAAAGATTCATACATTATATAATTATTTTTCAACTTTCATACAACATTCAAATATATATATATATATATATATATATATATATATAACTACAACAGAATATAATTTACATACAATTATAATACAACTTTACTACAATTTCGTAAGTATATTGTATGTCATGTGTTCTTCTTCTTCTTCTTCTTCGAGTTTCAATCTGAAATTCAACCAAAATCAAGTCTAATCTTCACCAAATACCCTCAAAATTGAGATATAAACTCCAAAAAATATTCTCAATTGTTTGCAACAACGCCCAATCCAAACAAATAATGATCTTTAAAAACTCATTTGATTTCAAAGCTTCAAAGCTTTTTAATGGCTGTCAATGGTAGAGAGTCAAACACCTTCAAAATTTATTGATTGACAATTTCAATTTGAACACTAATTGTGCACACATGAAAGGAAATTGCTAAGTTAAAACTCTATAGTAAAACGATTGAAATACATTGATGAACTCCATTAAAAATATATACAAAATGAAAGAGGATAAAAAAATAGAGAACATCAGAGGAAGAAAAATTGGGAAAGAACAGAGAATGAGAGATAGAGAGACGGAGAGAGAGCGCAGGAGAGAGAGAGACAGAGAGAACATGGATGGAAAATAATTGATTCCTTATTTAATTTCTAATTTAAAGGGATACTCATTTAAAACTAATTTGTATATAATTAGTAAATTATATATCCCCAACTTGATTAATTAGGAAGGGTAATAAAGTTTCATATATAGTATAGGAAGGTAAAAATCACTTTCAAATATAATAATATTTCACAAACAAGAAAGGATTTTTTACCTCCTATAGCAAAGGTTAACACCTTATTTATTTTAAATAAATACCATTTAAAAAAATTATATTCTATAGATACCTTTTAAGGTTTATAGCAAAATATTTAATTTTGGTTACTTCCTAGCCCTAAGCCACTAAATACGCTATTCAATTACACGACTTTCTTTCTCTCTCTACTTTGATACATCTCATTCTCTTCCCCCATCCCATTAAAATTTCCGCTCTCCTCCTCCTCCTCTAATGGCACATTCTCAAATGGACAGACGATATTGCAACAAATACACTAGTCTCTCTGACAGGAACAGTCCCCAAGCAGTGGACAACTGCAATCGAGTGTATATCCCATGATGCTCGGGCAGAAGAACAAAGGGAGCAGCCAAGTCCACTTTGCATAGAGAGAGAATCACAGCCAACAAATTCACTGTCTCTCTATATGCCATGAATGTATTCATATATTTTTTTAATTAATATAATTTATGTATTCAAATGTATTATATAATTTCTCTGATAATTGCTATATTTTTGGGGTATTTTTTGGTTGAAAATCTTTTTTTATAACTGAAAATACAAAATTTGTATGTTATAATTGAGTTTATTGAGCTATATTAGGAGTCTATTATGTTAATTGATTCACTTTCCGTTTTAAAAACAGTGTAATCCCCTATTTCACGCCGTGAATACAGTCGAATACAATAATTTGTCCAGTTGTAACCCCATATTTCACTCCATGAATACAGTCGAATACACTCGAATACAACAACTGATTAGCTGGACTTCCCTGATTCATGCTTATTTTTGCTACTATATTCATGAATACAATAGCTTAAATACATCAAATACATCTTATAACCACAGAAAAGATATCTATAATCCGTAATATAGCAAATGATATCTATAAATGAGTAATTACTACTAAAAGATAGTGCTTTATGAAAATTTCTCAACAAGAAAAGATCCCCCTTTTAAGCCCATTTCGTTGAAAAAGCCAAAACTTTTGTTCATTAGTGAACCTATAGGCCCAATCCATTTCAAGAGAAAGATCTCCTTTTGAGCTCAAAATAGGGCATTTTGACGTATACTCGCTTTTGGGGCCAACATTAAAGTTATATTTGTATTATATATAATTTTATAAAGTATATCCGCTCGTATCTAAAATAGTTTAATCTCTTCAATGCAATTTTAGAAATCAAATCTAAAAGTCTTCTATCTTTCAAATGCAACTTCAGAAATTCGAAGCTGAAGTAGTTCAATCTCTTCAATGCAACTTCAGAAATCAAATATGAAGTTCTTCTATCCTTCAAATCTTAAGTAGTTCAATCAATTGAATGTAACTTTAGATTTCGAATCTTAAGTTCTATAACATAAATTTGTTCTTCGAATTTCAACAATTCAATACACGATTCAATGCCCAAATCTACTCCAAATGAGCTCAAATTTGAAACATAACTTTCAAATATCATAAACACTAAATTTCAATCATTAAATTGTCAAAATAACAACAAATTTAACAAACCCACTTTGCAACTAAGAAGAAAAAGAAGAGAAAAGCGTATGTATCTGAAATTGTCCAAAAATTGAGTATCAATTAACTTTTTTTTTTTAAAATAGATACAAATTCAATAGGTGACGCAAAACTGAGTGCCACATAAAAAATTTATGCTCAAAATAGTCCCAAAAGAAAACACAACCACCATGTAAGAGCATTGGAGTAGGCTGTCGCTTGGTAAAAACTTACTCACACGGGGTGTTTACACCAATCTCAGTTAAGTTAATTATAGAAAACAAATTAAGATATATTAGGAGTCTTATTTTAAATAAATAAAAAAAATTCAAAACAGATAATAGAGTCATAAACTCAAAGTAACTAACGTCAGAAACATTAGAGTTGCCGTCACATGCTTAGCATCTTTTAATTTGCTGCAATCTTGTGTTTTTCATTCTTTCATTTTTCTATTGCAAATCAATTGATTACTTTTTGAAGCTACAACGTGGTTGGGAGAACAAACTAAAAGCAACGTATTGGAGCATATAATATGTTTGTTTCGCTTCATCCTTCTGTTATTTGAAAGCTGCAGAATATTTCTTCCACGTCTAAACTTTGTACTCTAATAAGTACATGTGCATATTGAGAAGATTAAATTTAGATCCATATACAGTGGATGTTAGAAAAGAAAATTTTACTTATATAATGTAGATGAGTAGAATTCAGTAGAACCTATACTCTGGTTGATTAAGATAAAAATATAATGATCATTACAGGAGAAGAAAATACTTTTTCGAAGTTCGTAATAGCCAATGGTGGCCTTTGGGATAGGTTGACGGTACTGTTTAGAAGATAACGAGAAATAGCTAGGAAGATTATTAAGTATTTTGATATTATTAATTAAGATTACGTGCAAAATACATGGTAGTTAACTATGGTTAAGTATTAATAGTTGTAATTAAATAAAGTAATATATGTCATTTGTTTATTGGCCGGGTGTAAACACCCAGTGCGGGTAAATTTTTACCATTGTAGCTTATCCACATCCAAAGGCCACAATTACAACTCTAGTAGTGCTTCAACCTTTTTTTATGCGAAGATGTTGCTCCCAAACGCACACGCAAGTATACGTGGTCGACAAGTAATATAGGATTGTAAGTCCAGATATCGTACCCACATGGACTTGTGATTAACTATCAACTAAATTAGACCAAACAATTAATCTATTCAAGCGAATCCTAAAGTATGAATATTTAGCTAAAACTAATCTAAAGTAACAAACTAAGAGATTAAAGAAAACAAGTTGGCTAATTATAGAGACGAATTTAATGTGAATGAATATTCTAGAGCTATGGGTTAGCTAACAATCTCGTTGAGTTTTTCACTTAAATCGTCTAATTAATTTATCTGGTTTATTGATTGACGAGGTTAATATTGCTCGTAGCCTTCTCCCGAAGTACAACTCGCCTATTCAAGCTAGCCTAATGCCTATATTCCTATGGAATTAGGATTAACAAGAACGCATTTATAATTCCCGTATAATAACCAAGTAAGGCGATTAGGTATATTCCTATCCTAACCGCAAATATGCTCCCCCTCAGAGTTAAGATCTTGCTCTACTCAATCTTATATGCAATCTAGAATTCCCTCTCCCGAGTTCAATCCTAGATTCGTAGATAGTATTCAATTGGTGATCAAGCAATCAAATAATTAAACGCAAGATTGAATAAATAAACCAATATGATAAAATAATAAGAACAATTCAAACTTCAAACTACAACGTTCATGTGGCACCCCAAAACTCTAGAACTAATAAACTATGAAATTAAAGGAAGAGAAAAGAAAGAAAAACTAATTAGAAGCCTCCTCCAAGCGTGGTGTGTGTTCTCCCACGTAAATTCTCCTTCAAAGTGTGTTAGATATCTCCACAGTGGCGTCCCCCTCCAAAAAATAGATTTAGTCTTGCTTTTATACATGTTGGGTAGGTCTAGGGCCGAATAAACCGTGTCTCGGGCAAAATAGAACAAAATCCGCGTCAACGGCGGCCCAGCCTGGCGCCAGGCACCCACCAGGGCGCTGCCCAAATTGCACGTACTGTTTTCAACACCACAGGTGGCGCCAGGCGCTGCTTGTGGGGCCCAAATGGCCTCCTTTTCGGATTTTGTTCGTTTTAGCTCAAATCTTGCACGTTTCGCCCCCAATTGCTCCTGAATCATTCCTACAAGTAAAAACACTTCAAATTAATATAAATCATAGCATTTAACATCCCAAATTCATGAAACAAAAGTAAAATATGATGCGATATACATAGAAATATATATACTTTAAGCTAAACATCAGAAGACACTGTATAAATTTTTTTACTCTATCAAACTAAATGAACCTTTAATAACAAATAATTTCTTTATAATAAACATGATATCGGGAGCATGAAAAATCAAATAATAACTTGTTATAGGTGATTATTTAATTATATGTATAGTAAAATTTAGGGTTAATTATACTAAACACCCTTCTAATATGACTCAGTTTTGGATACATCCCTTATAATATAGAATCAAGCACTTACACCTCTTGTATTATGAAAATCCTATACTAACACCCCCTATGAGGTATATCCATAACTAATTATATTAAAATATGATTATTAAAAAATAAAATTACAAATAAAAAGCTTTTACGTATTTATTTTTATGAAATATAAAAAAGAGGATAAATATTTTTCACTATATTATAGAAATCCTACACTAACACTGCCAATGAGGTATATCCATAAATAAGGACCTAAAACACATCCGTACGAAATCAGCGCTCGTGCTTGTATTTCGACAATGCTAATAATATTTGGAACAGCTAGTATTAATGTTCTATTTTACTAATGGCTTGTTCTACATATGTTAACGGTTCTTGACTTCTTTCCCCTAGTTCTTAATTTATTTTTTATTTTTTAAAAGGAAGCTTCATTTGAACGTTTTGACTATAAATATTCTGCGGGCAAAGTGTAACAATAGTCACTTTTAAGTTCGTTATTTAAGTTATATTCACAATTTATAATATATTTCAAGATTAGCTAATTCATGCAATATTCAGAACTAAGTATCCTGAATTTGAAAATTCAGTACTTACAACAACAACAACGGCCCAGTATATCTGATAAGTGAGGTCTGGGGAGGGTAATATATAAGCAGACCTTACCCCTACCCCGAGGGGCAGAGAAGTTGTTTCTTGAATTTTTGAGCTGCTAATTTGAAATTCAGGACTAAGTGTCCTAAATTTCTGAACTACTAATTTAAAATTCAGGACATAAATTCGAACTTCTGGATACAATTTTTGAACTTCTGGACATAATTTTTGAACTTTAGGACACAATGTCCTGAAGTTTAATCTTTGAGGTTCTAGGACATCGTGCCCTGAAGTTTGAATGAAATTGGCTAATCATTAAATATATTTTAAACTGTGAATATATTATAAACAACATGCTTAAAAGTGGCTATCTGGTGTCATGTCCACACATTCTGCTCTAGCATCTAATTCGTATTTATCGTTTTATTTCCAACTGCATGCAGCAACTTTTATCTTACTCTCCCGTTTTAATTTATGTGGACATATTTTTTTTTAATTCATGCGCAAAAAAAATAATCCATTTCATATTTAGAATCAATTTATTTTTATGCAAAGATTTATAGCCACACAAAATATATATGCATTTTTTTACATCACAAATTTAATTTTTTTTTTTTTTAAAAACTCCTCAGTCTAATAAGTTCACATAAATAGAAACTTATGGTTATTCAATGTGTCTTGTCCTTCTTTAACTGCTGTTTAAGTGGTATTATTAGAAGATCCTATTATTATCAAATTAAAACAAACAAAGATAACTAGTATCGTTTTGTTTTAATTCGTTTTTTTATTTTGTCTTTTCCAACTTTAACGTTGAAAAATTAGGTAACCGTCCCTATGTCCACGTGGACCTTTTGGACTGCGTAGAAATTCAACTCTGACGTGGCAACATGCAAGACTGACGTGGAAAGGGACCCACTCGAATCAAATAGAAAATCTCCACCAAGTTCCTCAAAATAGACCCTATATATCATCTTTACCTTTCATACAATACCCGACCGAAATTAATGCCATGACATGACCATTATGAATCATGCATATATGTGATTAACTTTGGGAAATATTCTACATAAATAAATGAAAAACTTGACCATAAATTTCCAAAATTAATTTAAAGAGAAAATGAACATTATTTTTTCCTTTTTTTCTCCATTTTAAAATGTTTTTGAGTGCATAGACTCGTCAACAATAAAGGAGAAAACAGACGAGAATTCTAATGTTACACACATTACGTGAATGAAACTTGCAAATTCTTGAATAACAAACAAAATTTTACATTCTTTGTCTTTGATTCTTGACCAATATGCATTCATCTTATAAGTAATTGTAAAAACAAAAAGTATGGCCTTAATCATCTTTTCGATGTTTTTGATTCCTCTTTTGCTAATCTCTCTTTCATTTAAATAAATACGTAGATTTTTTGGGTTCTGAAAAATTCTGCATTATTTTATAGATTTAGGGTAGAAGCCAATAGCCAAGTCATAATTATTTTTTAAAATTAAAAAAAAAAAGTCATAGTCAGAGCTGACTCAGAACCAGTTGAAGGTCAATCTTGTGAGCTATTAGTAAGTTTTGTTAGTTAGAAGATGAGCTCGTTAGTCGGTTATAGTTGTGGGACCCAGTAGTTAAGTAATTAGTTAAATTAGTACAAAGTTGAGTTAGTGTGTAATTGTATATAAAATTATACTCATCTATTACAAAACAACAGACTTTCATTTCACTGCAATTCCTCTCTTCTCTCTTAAGCTCAACATTTCTACTCTCAAACCTAATAACAAATTGCTTGGATGATTCTGGAAATTGAGCTCAGATTCATCAAGCTCACATGGTATCAGAGCAGTGACTGACGATGGTCAATGGCGGCCGAAAAAATCGATCACACACATCCTTTGTTCGTTCATCCCTCAGATACTCCTAGTTCGATTTTGATTCCTGTAAAACTTACTGGTTCAGAAAATTACGGACGGTGGCATCGTTCAATGTGAATTGTTTTGCAAGCTAAGAGGAAGCTAGGGTTTGTACTTGGGACATGCAAAAAGGATTCGTTCAAATCTGAATTGCATGAGAACTAGGAAATAAGTAGTGCAATCGTGCTTTCCTAGATCATAAACACTATGTCTCCGGATTTACTTAACGACATTGTCTCCGCATCTAATGCACATTTGGTATGGGAAGACTTGAGAGAGAGGTTCGATAAAGTGAATCGTGTGAGAATATTTCAGTTGCATAGGAAAATTGCTACTATTTCGCAGGGAACAGATTCAATCTCTGCATATTTCACTCGGTTAAATGAATTGTGGGCTGAGTATGATGCAGTGGTGCCTATTCCTAATTCGAAAGAGTATGTTGAACACCTTTAGTAGCAAAGGCTAATGCAGTTTTTAAGTGGTCTCAATAAGACATATCATCAAGCAAGATGTCAGATCTTAATGAAGACTGTGGAGCCAACATTGAATCAAGCTTATGCATTGATTATAGAGGATGAGAGACAGAATTCTAGTGCACATCTAGTCTTGCCAAATAGAGGAGATCATGTTGCTATACGAACAGGTAGAGGGAAAATGACTGTGCAGAATAACAAGGGACTGTACAAAGGAAAGAAGCCATTTGTGAAATGTGATTACTGCAACAACCCAGGCACTCTAAGAAAAATTGCTACAAGCTAGTTATCTATTCAACTGATTTCAAAAATAAGTATATGCAGCTAACATGACGACAGGTGGCTTAGAGAATGACAAATCAGCACATCAGAATGAGGGAAGAAGTAGTTGTGACGGATTAAAGGTAGGACCATACTTCACTAAGGATCAATATAGGCAGATTTTGAGCATGCTGAACAAGGAAACTCCAGAACATCAGGTTAACATGGCAGGTATTACAACCTCCTTAATGGCAAGCTTTACTTGTAAAGAATGGATAATTGATTATGGAGCTACGCATCACATAGCTGGTGAGCAAGATATGTTAAATATTAAGCATAAAGTAAATAAATGTGACAATGATCAAGTACATTTGTCTAAAGAAGAGAAGTCTAATATAACACATATTGGAGATGCTATTATATGTGATGAGTTGAAGTTGGAAGATGTTTTGTTTGTACCTGAGTTTAAGTTCAACATAATCTCAGTATCCAAACTAACTAGGCAGCTGTGTTGTTCATTGAATTTCTTCCCTGACTTCTGTTTATTTCAGGATCTCTACAATGGTAAGGTGAGGAGGATTGGTAGAGAAAGAGGTGGTCTGTACATATTGAAGAAGAACTTCAAAGGAGATTTGGAAAAATTTATCAAAGGAATAAGAAAATTTGCATCAACTACAACTACACAAAGTAATAAAGAAGATAGAGTCTTATGGCACAAAAAGCTAGGCCATGCTTCAGTTAGTACTATGAAGAACTTGGATCTATTTCATAACAAATTTGTAGATGTAGTAGTGAATAATAATTGTCCTGTATGCCCACTAGCTAAGCAAAGTAGGCTAGTATTTCCTAGAAGTATGAGTAGAAGTGAAAATTCTTTATCTCTATTGCATATGATAGAAAATATTTCTTCATATCTTTTGTGGATGATAATACAAGATATACCTGGGTGCATTTGCTTCAATTGAAAAGTGATGTTGTTGTGGTGTTAGAAGAAATTTCTTGTCATGTTGCAAACCTAATTTCAGTCCAAAGTATTTCCTAGTATTTCCTAGAAGTATGAGTAGAAATGAAAATCCTTTATCTCTGTTGCATATGATAGAGAATATTTCTTCCTAACTTTTGTGGATGATAATACAAGGTATACTTGGGTGCATTTGCTTCAATTGAAAAGTGATGATGTTGTGGTGTTGAAGAAATTTCTTGCCATGTTACAAACCTAATTGCCCTTCCTAATTTCCCTGTTGCTATTATTTTATATTACTTATCCTTTATCTCTCCTTTTTTTCGCTTCCATCTTTCTTTCTTCCTTCCTTGCTTCCCTATTCTTCTTCTTGCCCTTCCTAAGCCGAGGGTCTATTGGAAACAGCCTCTTTACCTGGATTAGGTAGGGGTAAGGTATGCATACAGACTACCCTCCCCAGACCCCATATGTTGGGATAAAACTGGGTTTGTTGT